ATTAGTGGAGTAATTTCACAAAAAAATAATTGAATATCAATTCAATAAAAATTTAATAAATGTGGCCTAGTTCTGGGTTTCAAGTCTATATCGTCGATATAAACAAAGAAGACGGCTTTATGACAAAAGTACTTGATTTGGAATATCTTTGTGAAAAAAAAAATATTTGGAATAGCTTTCTGACAATTTTATTATTTTAACCTTAATTTTATAATAAAGGGCGTTGAGGAAATTGCAGGCACAAGAAACTTTGTCACCTTATTGACTAATCTCAGGGTGACAGGCGAAGTGGCAGTGGGACACTGCCAGATCTGCTGCTGCTGCTGGTGTAGATCTTTGCGATTTAAAGGGTAAGTGCAAATAGTTTACTTTTAAACATTAATAAGTTTGCCACAATGACCATCATTGGCACCCGTAAATGTATTACTAATAATTACTAAGTTGGAAACACCAACATAATAAGAGCAAGTTCTATCAAAGACGTGACTACTTGGTACGCTGAAATGAGCTTCTAAGAACATATTTCCAAAATACGCAACGCAAGTACAATTCCTTTGTTAGACATAAGTTAGAATGTAACTCAATAATTTGGAACCCCATACATGGCAATCATACACGAACCATAGAAAAAATTCAAAAACCAGTTTGTATTGTAATGAAATGAAAAGGCTCCTGAATGGCACTGCAACTGCTATGGACAGGTGTGTCGCTTATCATCAGACGCACGACATGTCCGTCCCGTCACACGGTGTCCATAAATAAAGTTTTGTGACAATTTTAATTTTTATACTGAATATAATAAAAACATTATAGGTTTTTCCTATCTTATTTTTTACAATCGTTCTAGTGACAACAAAATGTATTTTTCCGGGAAATCAGTTTGACGTAAGTAAAAATAACCGACTTCAAAAAAGGAGGAGGTTCTCAATTCGACTGTGTTTTTTTTAGTATGTATGTTATGCGATAACTCCGGTATTTTTGAACCGATTTTCATGATTCTTTTTTTGTTGGAAAGGGGGTACTTCCATATTGGTCCCATTTCATTTTGAAGGAAATCATCCACGAAGATTCATTTTTATAACTAGCGTCTAAATTTTCTTAAGGAGCAATTATTTTAATGATTGATTTTGCTTCTCCAATTCAAAGCGCTTTTCTCTCAATATTCTTTGAGTAGTGAGAACCGATTTTTATTATCCCCAGCGTCAAGTCCTGTATAGTCGCGAATTCAAGGATATTTCAATAAAACTTAGACAACACACAACAAAACTTAGACAACAAATAGACGTAATTCCAATCTCCATATGGTTCAGAAGATTTATATTTTCACCTTGTATGTCGCCAATACAATTTCACTCTATATGCGGAAGGTCCGGGCAGTTGTTCCCAAGAAGGCACTCACTCCTGAAAACAGTTCCGCGAGATGAGGTTTATTCACCCTATATGAGCGTACGAAATATCAGAAGATCCCAAGAAGGGACTCAACTTCTGGTTGCTACTGAGCTCTCTGTATTCTCAGATTTCTCTTCACATTAACAAAATTGTGTTCGAGTAGTCACCATTCAAGGGAAAATCTTAACACCGCGATTCAGAAATAACGCCAAATGAGTCAATGCCATCTAGCGGATTCTTAGAGAACTAAAAGTAAACAATCTGGCTTAAGGCCGTCTATTACCTAAAGTAGGTTTGTTACTCTACTCGTTTTCATTAAGACACCAATACTTTCGAATTTATCGTATATTAGTCACATGTTTGATTTGATTTTCTCAGCTTATTATGCGTTTGTCCACTCGCGACTAGCCTATGGGATTATACTGTTGGGAAACAGCTCGTATTGTAGAAGAAATTTTTGTTCTACAAAAAAATATCAGAATATTAACCAACATAAAACAAACGGACTCCTGTAAACCGTATTTTACAAAACTTAACATACTGACTCTAACGTGCCTATACGTTTTTGAAGCCTGTAAGTTCGTTAAAAACACGCAATTTTATACTCTCCGATAAAATTAATAAGACGTAATAATCGTCACCGTAACAAGCTTAAACTTACTCCCTCTAGCCTAAAATTATTTTCTTGTGCACCACACCCTATGTTAATAAAAGTATATAACCACATCCGAAATTATATCAAAAATTTGGATAAAGACACGGTCTTTGAAAAACGTTTAAAAGAATTTCTAAACAAAAAACCTATTATAATATGTCTGAATTTTTTGGCGATAAATGTATTTGAAATTGATTTCATGCCTAATATGAAATGTAGGTAATAATTGAAAATACAAGTCAGTAAAAATTATTATTAGCAATAAGTGTACGAATAATATATATTATAATAATAAAATAAATGTACGAATAATATATATTATAATATATGTTAAAATAATTGTATCATTAGGATTAAGTTTAAATTATGCTACACCCTAACAGGGTATCACATGTATGTATCTAAGTTTATTAAAATGTGAATTGCAATAAAAAATAAATTAAATTAAATATAATAGTAATAAAAATGTTTAATAATTATAAAAATAATAATTTAATTAATTATAAGATAAAAATATTGTGTAATAATTATGCTTATTAATAATTATAGAATCTATAATATAATTAATTATCTAAACTAATTAACTACGTTCAAGCTTGTACACCCTTACAGGGTATCACATGTATTGTTTATCATCCATGTGAAATGCAAATAAATAAATGAATGAATATGGAACGAATGAATGAATTTGTCAAAGACCGACATTACCTTACAGTGATTAAAAATACCAGTGTTGTTATCTTTAAATTTTTTTTTTTTTATTTGGTACAATTGTCTTAATTAGGCTAACTTGTAACTTATAAATGTTGTCTAAATACGTTCTATATGTACGCTTGTGAATTTGACTGAACTATTGAAAATTTGTTCCAAGAACATTACTTGCCTATCAAACTTCATATTGTGACGTTTATTAGGAGTACGCTGACGTTAATAAAGCCGGTCGTTACTATAGTTGAAGCTGGTGAAATTTGAAGTGACGTGTTCCAGGTAAACTCTACGAAATATTAATTTGGAACTGAAATTCAGACGCAGTTAGAATTTGCAATATAGACAAATATTTAACTTTTTTTAGCAATTGAAGGGACGTACAAGCCGTACACTTGTAAGCGACACGCTTGTCCATTGTAGTTGCAGTACCAGAGATTTAAATCGAAAAGATCTTAAGGGCACTGCCACTGCGCTAGTCACCCTGAGACATAAGTTGACAAGTCTCATGTAGATGCAAATTCAACAGCACCAATTACTCTTCAAAACCGGAACGCAATAATGCTATCCTAATATAATATCCTAAACTGCCCCTGTGGCCGAACGGTTACCATACCGGACTGCCACGCAGAGGTCCCCGGGTTCGATTCCCGGGCCGGGAGAAATATTTGTATGGCCTACATTTATTTCTCTCGTGAGTTTGAGTGTAATTTGTGGTTGTCTATGTGTGCGTCCATGGCACCCGCGACACAGGATTTCCCTAGTGCGGGACTATGTTGAGTGTGTGCGTTATTATTATTATTATATAATATCCTAATAGAAATAGGTAACCTAAGTTCTCTAACATATATGTACTTCTATTAGGTATTGCAGTGTAAACTACGTCTACCATTAAAGTGTTTAAATCGCTAGCGACCGTAAACAATGTTCGTACAGGAATTTCCCAAAAGCAACTATGATTTGCCAAACAATTACCAACTCCTTTATCTCATGGTAGGGGTACTCATCATATTATTGAATTTAAAAACGTATAATGTACTTACTCATCACATTTCAAAATGCGGCTACGTGACAAAATATTTTTCTGAGATATCATAAAAAGCCATAACCCAGTTTTAAAATATTGAAATTGTTCAATCGATATTGCATCGTTAGGGTAAGTTCCGATAAGTCAAACACGTTAACTAATATTAACTGTTTTTAAAAGAGAATTTTGAGATCTATTTTTAACCGACTTCAAAAAGAGGAGGTTCTCAATTCGTCTGTAAGTTTTTTTTTGTATGTATGTTACGCGATAACTCCGGTATTTGTGAACCGATTTTCATGATTCTTTTTTCTTGGAATGGGGGTACTTCCATAGTGGTCCCATTTCATTTTGAAGAAAATCATCCACCTCAAAGGGTGGCCGTTCACGCATGAATATTCATTTTTATAAATAGCGCCTAACTTTAATTTAGGAGCAATTACTTTAATGGTTGATTTTGCTATTTGTCCAATTCAATGCGTTTTTGTGGCGAAAGTGGCGAACTAGGGGATATTTCAATAAAACTTAGCAAATAGACGTAATTCCACGTACTTTTGAGGTGGGTTTTTTTAGTACTCTGTACTGATCATTATTTGCATTTAAAACGTTATTAGTTAGTGGACAGCAGATTTATACAAATTACCACTGTACAACAATTGACTTTACAAAAACATGCTTTCGTATAGAAAAACACCTCTGTCATTTTGATTTAATAACAAAATATGTTGGTTTATATATTTCATTTAAAGACAATTTTTAGTATTTAAATATGTTTAAAAAATGGCATTCGAGAATGATTACTATAATTTGTCAGGTTTTCTTTCCGCCCAAAAAATTACAGCCGAGATCTTTTTTAATTGAATGATGTCCTTTTCTCCGGCACCAGACATAAGGGCAAGCTGAATACTCTTGATTCATATTATGAGGTAAGGGTACTCAGGTGGGCTCGGGTATCAACCCAGGATGCTACTTGGACATTTCCGCTAGAACGGCCAGCAAAAGGGGAGGATCGGCGCGAGATACACAACAAAATAAAACCAACCAAAATCGGGTCAACGCCATTTAGCGATTATAAAAACGGACTAAAATCCTAAGAAAATATTGAATTAAAAAGTAGTATCGTTCTATGTAATATTTTTTCGCCTTTTCGCAAGTAAGCCATCGATCAGCACTTCAGAGGCTTCTAAATGCGGTTCGTTAGTTCTGTTAGCTATACGTGAGCCAGTCGTTCCTGCGTACTTTGACAAGCAGGTAACATAATATTGGGCGGGATCATATTTGACAAGGGACCAGGTGAGTGCCTTTTGTTATTATTGTATTTGTTCCCTTAACTCGCATTATCACACGAACGGCTAAGTTTTATGTAAATTTAGTAGATTTTTTTTATCTGAGTATGATATGATATATTCAATTTCAAACAACATGGCATTTGACTCGGCATTTTTTACTGCCTCAATCAGCTCATTCAAATATGCTGAAAATAAATCAGAAATACGTATTCCGATATTTCGACACTACAAATATTAATAGTTGACGGCAGTGACCGAGGAATACTCCATGCTTTTTAACCGACTTGTTTCGAGGTTCTTAAGTCGACTTGTTTGGGGTGTCTCAGTAGTTGTGCTATCCAATTTAAAGAAAATATTCAACCTCTAAGATTGTTATACACGGCGAGTTTTAGCGGCGATGCAAACGCGCGATTGCATCGCAATACTTATATGCGATTGCATCGATGCAAACGCGCGACTGCATCGATACAGTCTCTTATGTTGAATAATTATGTACGAAAAATCTGTATAGGTTTATGAACATTATTTTATTTTGTTAATTGTAAATTTAAAAGTTAAATTATTAATTTAAAACGTTTGCATCGCGTTTGCATCGCTGCTTATAGACGCGCGCGTGTGTAAAGGTCATTGATAACCTCCTAATAGATGCCGCATATAGGGCAACTGACGCGCATCACACATCCGTGCAATTGATCATATGCAAAATTTTACAAAAATTCATCACTTAGTTTCGACCAAGTATCAGACCTGTGTTCATCTCCTGATATTCCTGTATTGTTACGCTGGTTTTGGTGAAATGAACTATAAAAATGACTATCTGTGCCGTGAAATGGTGTGGAAAAACATCCAGGACCTCAAACTTTCACAAAGATGGAATCACGTTTCACCGATAAGTTATAACTACGTTATTTACAAGTTTGTCATAGGTCAAATTAAAATAGCATAACTAAAAAACTACGAAGGAAACGCGTCTAAGAGTGGCAAACTAGGATCCGATAAAATCGGTTTATTCGATTTCACTACAATAATATTATTGCTATAATTATTGTGCTAGATGGGTTTTACAAGTTATATGACAACAACATTTTACTTATTTCAATGACATCTTTCAACTATTGATGCGTCATCGAAAGACTAATTTAAATTATTTTTAATACTACAATTGGTTTGTGTTTATTTTTAATGAATGAAATATATAATATTATAGTAGTAGGTAGATACATAAAAAAGTAAGAAAGTTTAAGTAGAAAATTTCCTCGAGTGCCATACCCTGAAACATCGTGCCCAGAAGGCTGGCAATATTTCCCCTTTGAATTGTCAAACTTATTCTTTGGCGGAAATACCTGCCAGGCTTGTGGTCACCGGAGGCTTCTACATTTTTCTTCTTTATTTAATTGCTAATGTAAAGTCCATTGTGTTTGTTACTTGTCAGATATATAACAAGTTTAATGTAAGAACCAATATGTTCTCGTCTGAGAATACAGTTAAACTCGAATAACAAACATGCTCCAGAATGCAGAGTTGAGATAAGCCATATAACTTCAGATTAAGGTTGTTGCTTATGTGTTAGCGTTGTACTGTCAACAACACAGTTAACTTTACACATCGTAGTTTGAACCGTTCTTATTAAAAAAAGTATAACGTTTAATTTCAATTTAACTTTTTTAATGAGATTAGGTGTACAGTCGCGTGCAATGGAATGTATACGTTCACTTATTTTCAAAACTATGTAATCACGACATCGTTTTAAAAATTGTATACTTTTATTTCAAAGTAAAGTAAACAAACTACAACCTGTGAAAAGTATACACTCCTGGTGTTAAATATATGTATCCATATCATTTTCATAAATATTTATACAATGCATTTTCAATAAAATGTATACCAATCCAAGATTATCGTAAATTAACGAACAAAACTTTATTGGCAAATTTTCAATAATCTTGTATTTAGAAAATAAATGTACCGTGTCTATGCAGTCGTTGGGTATAATAATAATATAAGGCTTCGCAGAATCAAGTTGCGATTTTATTAACTGTTTACATTCTTTTATTGTAAAGTTAAACCATTACATTTTATTGGAAAGTAATTATAAACAAGGAATTTCTTTAGATGTATAAATAGCATCCAAAGAAACTAATTGTTTTGACAACCACAGAGTGTGATAATTACAAAATGCTAGATCGCTCACTTGCGTCGTAACTTGAAGTGACTCTAACAAGTCTTGGATTTTAATGAATCCATTACGGTGGACACTGCTCACAAGTTCGGTGTCCTGCGCTTCGGTAGTCTTACGCGCACGGCCTTTGTTTTTACGGAAATCTACGCTACCTTCCTCACCCTTTTCCTCTGAATTTCGTGTGCGCAATTAATTTATTTCGATAACTCGGAAAATACTTATGTCACTTGCGCTGCACCACAAAGACAAATGGATATGGGTATTTCTTTTAGAAAGGCTAAAGCTAAATTCTTTGACTTTGGTGGTCGAATTTTTTTGATAATTTCGTGAAAAACGTTGAGCGGAAGGGAAAAAGAACTCTAACTTACATAAGATTCCGTTATTTGGGCAACTAGATTCTTGACAGTTAATGACATATTTGATCCACCGAAATCAGGATAAATTAACAAAAGGCCTAATTTTTGTATAAAATATTATGAAAAGGCAATAAAAACCAGCAATAATCTCCATAAACATTAACTAATATGACTAACTATCAAAACAAGCTTTAAAAGTTAAAATTTATTTATAAATTGACCAGGATGACGCAAACAAATTTCACCTTATGATTATTAATTAAAAGTAGTTTTCACTTTGTCTGTTCAGCTTTTTTTCAATTACACAAAGTATTTCCGTATCTCTTTTAAAAGAAATTTTAGAACGCAATCTGTAGCCACAAAAATAATTAATTTTTTGGAACTTGCGCAAATAATATCTTTCATTACTTTTTATACATAAAGAGGTAATTCATGCAAACTTCAAAACCTTTCTTTCTGCTTTTTCTTCGCATACCTCTGTCTATCTTTTTCTTTAAACCTTTCATTATTTAATTGGATCGCTTTTTATATTTGCTTTTTTAGCAAGTTCCACCATCTTCTTGATCTCTTTGATTTTTTCCATTTTCATTTTCCTTATTCATTTTCGGCTGGAAGCATGTAGTAATATAAAAAATGTCAATATCGATAACAATAACTAAACATTTATACGAAAAAACGTATAAAATTCTTGCTTTTCGAAGAGAATATGGCTTCTATGGCAGTTTTTTCCGACTTCAGTGGAAGTTTTTTTGAATTCATGGCATAAAATCAACCGACTTCTATGCCACGTGATTCAGAAATATTTTTTTTTCGATATTACTCATAAACGACTATACTTGTAGAACAAATGAATTGTTATTATATTTTAGTCGTTACAACACATATTATAAAAAATATTACATACAACCATAAACTTTAATATTAGAAATATCATATACACCGAATGCAAAAATCAACCTGGACCAAATCCACCGAATTACGTACTTACACCTAAAAAGTCCTAAAATCGGCAACAAATCATCCACCTGTTCTCTTCAGTCGCAGCGACTCCACTGCGATGGAAGAATAATTCGAACGAAATGCGAAACTTCTCAAAGGCTTCACTTGTGATATGTAGCGTGATTAGTAACGACCACTGGATTCCCTCGTAAGCCACGCAGCAATCTTGGGATTGTGATAAAACTTTTTTTGCTTGGTTTATTGTGAAACTGCAGATTAAAAGTACTCTTATCTAATTTATTATACATGAAGTAAAGTTTAATATTGATACAAGGTTTAAACTTTGAGAGAAATGACACTTTGTGTTGGATTCTGCATTCGGAACACACCACCGTCGTCAGGTTTTAAGCATTTCGGATTTTTTTCCCATTACTTTCGGTTTATTGTGAAGATTTTGTGATCTACAGTTACCTTACCTATTTCTGCCGCCAAACAGTAATGTCAGCGTTATTGTATTCTGGTTTTTAAGGGTAAGGTGCTGGTGAAATTACAGGTACATGGGACTTGACAACTTATGTCTCAGGGTATCGGGCGCAGTGGCAGTGTCCCTCAGATCTTTGCGATTTAAAGCTCTGAGTGGCACTGCAACTGTAATGGACAAGCATGTAGCTTACCATCAGGCACACGACATGTTCGTCCTGTCACTTAATATTATTTTAAAAAAGCTTTCGACCTATATTATAACCTCTATTTTTTGTATATTTTTGTTTTGATAAATAAGTGGAGTTTAATGCATGGACACAGAAAATTGCAGGTATTGAGGAATGCACATATAGTGTAACGTTCACTTATGATTGTCAATAAAAAAATGAGGGTAGTTTAACCAAATAACTGACATTGTTACCGCCCAAACTAGCAAAATACGCACAAAAAGTTACAACCGGTGGCGCGTATGTTTACATTATATTGCAACTATATTGTGTATATATATTTTTAAAGATGATGCAAATATTATTAAAATCTAACAAATTTTGTAGTTTTAAAAGTGAATACATATTTATGATAAAATGACCATCCTAATTGTTTACATTTTAATGCAAATGCATTGTATAAATATTTGTGAAAATGATATGGATACATATATTTAACACCAGGCGTCTATAATTTTCACAGGCTGTAGTTTGTTTACTTTTCTTTGAAATAAAAGTATACAACTTTTAAAACGATGTCATGATTACATATTTTTGAAAACAGCACGAGATTACATATTTTTGAAATATCTAATGTTTACATATTTTCGAAAATGTATACATTTCATTGCACGCGACTGTACATTTCATCATAACATTATTAGGTCTTTTAAAAATAACAAATAGACGTTTTGGAAATTATAATAATGATATTTTCGAATTAAATCACGTGTATTAGTTTTTTTCTTTCAAACGACCGAACGTTGTCGAATACACTGACAACGCTTCAAGGTATGGCACACTGCGCTCCGCACTACCGCGCAGATTTTTAAGCTTAAGGATATGGTCAGTTTTCTAAAATAGATCTCGGCGTCGATAAATTTAATATTTGCTACTGAAAATCAACCAAATTTATCTTCATATTTTCTTAAATCTTTGTAATGAAGCTGAAATTATCCATTTATTGATCTGGTTCCAGAACCAAAAAAAGGGATGTATGAAATATCTTCGATGTCTTTCTATTTAACTGCCTCCGTGGCCGAACGGTTACCATGTCGGACTGCCACGCAGAGGTCCCAGGTTCGATTCCCGGGCCGGGAGAAATATTTGTATGGCCTACAATTATTTCTCTCGTGAGTTTGGGTGTAATTTGTGGTTGTCTATATGTGTGTCCATGGCACCCGCGACACAGGGTTTCCCTAGTGCGGGGCTATGTTGAGTGTGTGCGTTATTCTTATTATTATTTGAGTAAACATTTTTGTTTATAGTAGACAGTATAAAGACCAAATAGACAGTATAACTGCAGCATCCTGAATGAGTTCTGTATTATTAACCATTCTTGTCAAAGAAGGATCTCGGCTACATATACAATCACTACGGCGATCAACTGCGAAGCGAGTACTTTAAGTGACGCGGGGCCGCTAGACCGCTGCCCCCGCGCAGATTAAACCGCACGTTGACGCAGATCTGCGTCTCCGCCGTTGCGTGCGTGATTCCGCGGTGCAGTGTGATAATCGTCTTAGTCAGCTGTGACCCTGTGACAATAGGACCTACAATAGTTACCATTGTCACGCAGAGGTCCCGGGTTCGATTGCCATGCCGAGAGAAATATTTATATGGCCTGCATTTATTTATCTCGTGAACTTGGGTGTAATTTGTGTTTGTCTATGTGTGTAACAATGGCACCCGCGATACAGGGTTTCCCTAGTACGGGGTTATGAGTGTGTGCAAATAACTGACACCACAAATTACAAATGTTTCTCCCAGCTCGGGAATCAAACTCGGGACCTCGGCGTGGCAGACCAGCATGATAACCGTTCGGTCAAGGAGGCAGTTAAACAAATATACGCGACTTCTTCTTCTTCCAGTGTATTTATTTCTATCAGCAGCCAACCGAAACAGCTGTTCGATAGGAAATTCCGGACCACTCCCAGATGTTCCGCAGCACGACATTAGGAAGTTTTCCGTCTTGTTTTAAACTTCTCACGTTTCAAGTTCCCATTCTTAGGGTTTTCCACCTGAGAATTCCTAGCACCTCTATTCCATTTAAGGAACGCTGGGTACTCGGGGTCGTGGCTATATGTGACTTTACCATGAAGCTAATTACTAGGGAATTTAGTGCAGTGGTTTCCCGTTGCCTTCTGCACCAGACCATTTAGAAATTATTTAGATCTCAAGGCTGTTGAGGCCTCTTCCAACCAGTTTCCTCGTCAAGTATGTGTATACCGCCCATGCTCGATCGAAAGAGCCTCGTTTGTTGTCTAGCAGGGAGCACCACGTCATTCCAGGGTATAGTGCTGCCAGTTATTCTGAGAAGCATAACTAAGCTGGCATATGAAGTTGACAGTACTCTGTTCTCCCCTTCGATTCTCTAGACTCGATTAAGTGATTTAGATTTTAAAAATCTTAGTATCATTTCCAATGTTAGAATCGCGAAAACCTAAAGACTGAATAGATGTTTTGTTTAACCAAAATTATAATAAAGATCAATGTCTGGTCTACACGTAAAGGTAATGTGACAATAAGTCAAATCTCCATATTAACTCTCAATAAGAAAGAAATCAAATACGAAAACTAACGTTATTGAAAAAATGACAAAACACAACAGGAATTGCGTACGTGACAACAGTCGTACGAGTATATGGCTAAATTCAATTTGATGTGAAAAAAGATACAATTCGTCGAGGATAATGCAAATCCAATGTAGTATTATTAAAAGGCGCGTATCTACTCTGAACCAAATTTTACGGAGATGGATTAAACGTTATTGCTTCTTTATTGCAATGGTTTTAACTTTCACTTTTGCGCATAAATTTATGTTCTGTACGGACTGATAACAATAGATTCCCGTAAATCACGCTAATTTGGTTACCACAACATTTACGCGGACTTGATTTGGCCGCTCACTTACCAAAATGGAAACTCATAATCCAATGCTAGTTGTCCAATGGTAGTAATAGGTATACTTCGTACGTTACGTTTTCAAATCTGTTTTATCAAATTCCCAATAATATTACTTTTGTTTATTGTCATTTTATTATTGAGAGAACAACATGTCGATTTATAGTACCAATGACGTAGTTTTCCGTAAAAATAAACTCAATCTACTGTATCCTGATCCACGAAAATTGAAGTAAAAATCCCATATCTATTTTCTAAAACGGAGGCCTATTTTCCATTCGCAATATAAAATCGTTTTCGACATTGCTAGTTATTTAGCTTCTCTATCGTGACTTTGTTGCTCCAATCTGTTAGTAGTTTCTTCTTTCTTTTTTTATTTCTCATAAAAACAAAACGTTTTAAATTTTATCCTGTTAAACTAAGTTAAAATTTGATATGGTATAAATTAATATAAATTTGTATATAAATATAATATATAACTTGTATATAAATATAAGTGGTATAAATTTGTTATAACTTGTGATTAGTATTCGGATATCGATGTATGTATGTATTATCTTTATTACGTCCATGGTCAAGTGGCATGCATACATTTTCATGTTATTGTCATCTCTAAGGTTCCCGGTTCGATCCCCGGCCGATAGAAAATCTAACGTTTCTATTTTTTCTCGGTTGGTGGTACCGTTGTTGTTGACACACACATAGATAACCACAAATTACACCCAATCTCACGAGAGAAATAAATGCAGGCCATACAAATATTTCTCCCGCCTCAGGAATCGGGTGGCAGTCGATATAATAACCGTTCGGCCAAAGAGGCAGTGTCATATATACTTAGTTATATACAGGTACGTATCAAGGTAAATTTCTTTTATTTATTCACAGATTATGAAGAAAAATAAGACAACTAAGAAGACGTCTAAGGCACTGGACGAAAAAGCACATGACGACAAAATCACAGATAAAGGAAAATCCGAAAAAACAGACAGCTTAGACGATGAGGATCAAGGATTTGGTGGATGGTTAAAGTAAGTTTCTGTAGCTATGTTAATTACGTTTAACGCATTTAGTAATAAAAAAGATATGCTAATCCAATTTTATTAATTACCTTTCTAGCATAATGAAAATAAAGTTCAATTTATGTAAAGTACAAACTAGATACGAGTCAAAATCATCCGCGGAACATTTTGGTTCGTATTTATGATGTACGTCACCACCATAAGTTCATGATGCTATGTACAATATTGCTAAAAAATTGGCTTCCATTTCGTTATAACCTTGTTTATTCAATTTTTCATGATTAAGAAAACCAACATCAATTGACACTTACTCATTTACTATATTAGTGGAATCGATACAATATAATTAATATCAATATAATACTACAATCGCAGGAATTTTTCTAAGTGTTCAATCTTTGTATTAACAATTATTACAAATTGGTAGAACAATCCCACAACAAATAAATTAATAAATCATGGTAGTTAAACATCGTGTTTTTGAATGAATTTTAATATAAACAATTATTATAGTGACATCTCTAGTCGGCCGCTGGTAGCTATAAAATTTACCTGGTTGAGTCTTCACTCAACTTCACATTTCTTCAAACTTATAGCAGTAGAGCTTCTTGTGAAAATGTTCGTTCAGTGAATTACTTCAACCTTACCTATTTCTGCCGCCAAGCAGTAATGTTGCATTCCGGTTTGGAAGGGTAAGGGTGCTAGGGTAAAGCTCTAAGTGGCACTGCAACTGTTATGGACAGGCGTGTGGCTTACCACCAGGCGCACAAATTGTTCGTCCCGTTACTTGTTATTGTAAAAAAATCCATAGATTTCACTTAGACGGTGCTATAGCAAGAAAGTCGTTAAAAACAAAAAACTAACATTTGTAACCAACGCATAGAAGAATTCGTAAGATCTGCTGACTCGTTCTGTAGCTCAGTTGGTAGAGCCCTGGTATGGCACAGACGCAGGTTCGATCTACCTACAGACTTGAATTTCGACCAGGGTTTGGACTGAGAATATAATGATTATGCAATTTGACAGTTTCGAACGAGCCCGTCTTTTAGTTCTAGCGCTATCTGTGAGAAATTTATGAAAGCTATTCTTCCCACAAATTGGTAACTTTACAGCTACCAGAAGTTGATAAGAGATGTCGCTTTATCAATTATAATATAGGTTGTAATAAATAAATAAATATCATGATAGTAAAACATCGTAATATTCATTATTATAATCAACATTACTTTATCATTGTTTATGTTTCAGATCGGAAGACGGCCAGGATACTATGAAGCTTTTCGTCGTTGCCAACAGCATAGTGTTACTTACAACTCTCGCTTATCCACACGTTCAAACTGTACTGGACATTGTCTATGATGCTTTTTATGGACCAGATGCTTTGTATCCTATGGAAGTCACATATTAATCTGCAACAACTTTAGGGAAAATACTGTTCAATAAGTGTTTTTGTAAATGTCTTACAAGTACAACCGCTATCTTATTGTTTTTATGCACTTCTCACTTATTTCTTACTCTTGAATATAAACGTCAAAACACTTAGACCGAATTTAATAAAAAAATCTATTTGTAGTTATTTTCTAGATAATATTAAATGCTTTTTGAATTCAAATATTTACGTATAACAGCCAATAATATATAAACTGTAGAAAAGAAAAGAACATTAACGGATATAACCAGTAGGTAATTATAGAAACATGGTTTCATAAATGCAATTATTATTATATAAAATACCTTAACTCATTCTTAATTGCTTATTTAAGCTTAGTTAACAGGAAAATAGTATTTGTAACTCTTTAAATACCTGAGATTAACAGCGAGTTTATAAAGTCTATAAATTAAACCTCATTGACTATAGTTTTTTTTTTAATCACAGGTTAACTAATTCCAGTAATTTAATAGAACGTATATATGCGATAAGGCGAGAGTAAATATCACGCATTTATGAATTAAGATAAAAACAATTAACTATGTTATAAGTATTATAAAACCATGTTCGGTTTATTATTTCGTTTAATGTTTTCGTTAAGTATCATTGTTTGGTACTCGGTTAATGTGTGGAAAATGATATCAGAGTATTTTAACAAGGAGTTCCAGAAATTTTTGTATAATAACTCATATGAAATTGAGGACTATGAGTTGTGAATGTATAAACAAATTTTAACTTACTTTTTCTTTGTATTATCATTTCGTACCCATTATCTGCGCGTACCTTTCGAATTTGACAAAACATTTGTGTTTGTGTTGTGAGGCGTGAAAAGCTTTAACTTTTTCAAAAAACAAAAAACACTTTATCAAAAACTGATTTTCCCGTTAAAAAGGCGCTTGGCGACATTCAAACGCAACATTTATTAGGACACAAGAAACTAGTTCACTTCATTTAACAGGATAACTTATTAAACACATAAAATAACCATAGCTTTTAAAGTAATTTTACATTTTAAGTTGCCCGTCGCGATACGAAAGCATATAAACAAACGCATGAATACTAAGTGTTGCTATTTTAATTAACATTTGACAACAACATTCTTATTTTTATACAGTTCCAAATACAAAATAATATAATCTAAATGATTATCACTAGTATCAGGTTTCTTACCACGGTATGACTTCTTTTTATTTCCCCGATATTCGGAATTCGGAATTATGGTCACGGGTTGACTCATGGAGCGTGCAACCGTTCCGAAATATCGGGAAAATAAAAAGAAGTCATACCGTAATATAATCTAACCAGCTACTACAGTAGCAAGTACTTAAAATATAGAATAAGCCAAAAGCATCGACTTTTTTTGCTCACTGTACCTATGTGACCACGTCACGTTGGGTGTGACAGATTCTAGTGACAACCTAATTAGCACAACGCATATGATTGCATAGCAGCTGGAAGCACTAACATGTACGTGTCTTTAGATTGCCAGATTCCTGATTGAGGCTTTTCTATAGATTTAGATAAGAGTCTTTATTACGCAATATTGTGTAATGTGTAAAAGAGACTCATCACGTTATAATAATACGATTTAGCTTAATGTTTTGACAAAAACTAATTATTTACGTTAAACTAGTTATTGGGTTCATATCTTTGCGATTCAAAGCTCTGAGCGGCCCTGCAATCGTCACGGACAGGCGTGTCGCTTACCATCAGTCACTTGGTACCATAAAAAATATATACGCTAATGATTTTAGACATAAGTTTTATCAAGTAATACCTTACGTTTCTTGAGATAAGACTGTTTTTCACTGAAAATTCAAATATTTTAGAATACATCCATCATTTTGACGCTGATTGAACAAGCAAATGAGCGAGGCTCATTTTGTACCAAAACGGAGTTGAGATGCGTTGTTTTTGTAGCCAAAAGTATTTAAGTTTATGTTATTTTAAAGTGGTATGGAGATATCAAAATGACAAAACTCTACTTATGAGGTTGGTGAAACAACACCATCTAAAAATCGTCATTGAAAAGCAGGTTAGTCCTTTTGAAAAAATCAAAATAAGTTTTTACCTGTGTGCGTGCAATACCTAATTCTAAATTATCTGTTTTGTAAACGATTCATAGCTCGCGGTCTTCTCTGTTTAAGGGCTACCTACCTATGTATTACGCATAGCTATACAAAGCGTCTTGGGCATCCTACCACAGTAACAAAATTTCATTCATTTAATAATAAATACATAACGCATACACTCATAGCCCCATACTAATGAAACCCTGAGTCGCGGGTGCCATGGACACGCACATAGACAACCACAAATTAATATTAAACTCGCGAGATAAATTAATGTAGGCCACATAAATATGGTAAACATTCGGTCATCATTCGGAGGAAGTTATTAGTTATTACCTTTTATTGTATTTTTACAACTTCTTCGTATAAAAAAGTAATTAGCTGAAATGCAGTAACTAAAAAAAATATTATTATTGATACAGAAATCGAAGAACAAAGATATTTGGACAAATCACGAAGAGTGTGCGAAAGAATTGCACGATTTAATTCTGCCTTCCCCTTTTCATCATCGGGGGACCAGACGTAGACTGGGGTTCCATCCCCATGTTGTGGATATTCGCAAGAAGCGTTTCGCTTCCACATTTATATGGCGAACAGCTATGGTTCCTGCTGATTTGTTCCCTGAACTTCATAATTTGAACCTTTTCAAGATGAGAGTGAATAGACATTATTAAGGTGTGCATGCTCCATCGTCGACTTCATCGTCATTTTCAATCAGGTGAGATGGAAGTCTAATGGGTGCTTATTTTTGAATATAATATAACACAGAGACTAATCCTTCAATCCAATCCAAGCGAACCAGCGTCTGTTGCTACACCGGGGCCAAGCTGTAGATCGAGTTAATAGATCTTACTAATTTCTCTATGTGCTTGTTGCAGATCTTTGTATTGATAACGAAGTATTCATTATCCTGCATTGCAGTCCGCCTTGCTGTCCGCCGCGTAATGCAGGATTATGAATGTAGTCGCAGCGTGTTGTGGACCATAGGCAGGGTAGTGTGCGAGAAATCTCCTGCCTGCGCAACGGACTGCCGTGCAGGTAGTAAAATCGCAGCTTTAGAGTATTTTCACAAAAGAATATCACTGTAGGAAAAAATCATGATCTTTACAAAAATATATATGTAAAAATATATAAATATATATGTCGGGAACGGTCATGAACACGAACGAAAAACTGCGAGATAGAGGCGCCACCTGCAGGTTACAGAGTGTATCGCGCGCTCCCTCTGCCTGTGGACCTCGACGAAGTGTAGGCAGGGAACGGTGGTGGTAGACGACAGAGGACACAGTGGTGGTTGGACTCTCGGGCTGCACACACGCTACCTAGAAACTGTCCTATATTTTGCTTTGTGCCTATTTTGATCGTTAAAATGAATGGAAAGTACAAGGTATTATGCGATTTCATAGTGATTAAAATATATAGTGTTACTATTCAACGTAATCTCATAGTACGATCCCTAAATCTGCTCAAGCGATATCTGAAAATTCCGTTCTAATCCCTGACTGTTCCGACATATATTTAAAAAAAGTCTCAGTTATTATTGTTTTATGGTGTCAAATGACGGCATAAATAAGTCGTGCGCCTGATGATAGACGACGCGCCTACAAAATAACATTATAGCGCCACCCAATTTTTTTTTTTTTTTTTAATAACATACACACTCAACATAGTCTCGCACTAGGGAAACCCTGTGTCGCGGGTGCCATGGACACACATATAGACAAGCACAATTTACACCCAAACTCGCGAGAGAAACAAATGTAGGTCATACAAATATTTCTCCCGGCCCGGGAATCGAACCTGGGACCTTTGCGTGGCAGTCCGTTAATGGTAACCGTTCGGCCACAGAGGCAGTTAAAACAATGCTTTAAAACACTTTAAAATACATTAAATCTTAACAATAAAATTGTCAAGTCCCACGTGTTTGGAGTTTCAACAGGCATCTTTACCTTTCAAAACCGGAAGCAGCTCATGCTTTGTGGCGGAAATGGGTATAATGACAGTATTTTGCCTGGACCAACTCTGTTACAAGATACTGTTATTTTTATTTGTAAAACAGACGTAAGCTTTGAAATTATGATACCCACGACAACCACGTTGCGTCTCACGTCACAGTCCATACGTGTAAATAAATAAAATAATGTTTTATTATATTATTATTATTATTTTATTATATTATTAACTTGTAAGGTACGTAGTTATGGGACAATGTAATCTGAATATAAATTAATGAATAAAATAAATTTGTTGACAAGTCTGTACGTGTCATTTCACCAGAACCCTGAGGGCGTCTCAATCTTTTGATTCCAAGAAATAGTGTGTTTCCAATTAATTTATTTTACATGCGTATGTTTTTTATAACTATATATAATTGCTACGTTAAAATACACATATTCTTACATGTATAAATATTTTATCGAAGGATAGGCGGTGACATGAACAAAATGTACCATTATTTCCAGCCATGTATATAAAGTACGTCAAAAACCATTTATTAATTTTAGAATCAGAGTGTTTTTATTTACCAATTTGTTCATTGACTTACAAATAAATGGACGACAGGTCTAATACAAAAACCACGAAAAAAATGTCCCAAGTCAACCTATTTAAATGTAGTGACATGTAAAGGAATATGAAAAAGCTAAAACGTTGAATTTAAATTATAATTAAATAAATTAATAATTTAAATGACATTACGTCATCGCAGTACTGTCTAATTTTGCTTGCTTCGCTGTCAGAAGAAACAAACGAAGACTGAAGCGTGAATGCCGCTCTGTATACGATTTTAACGCCCTGTAAGTTCGGACACTTTTTAGCGCGGACCCGACGTCCATATAATTGTAAGTCAACGCATTTGTTGTACTATGTAGTTGTTAACGTGATGCAAGAAAATAAACGTTCTATCAAATTTATTTAATAATTAAAGAACATCGAAGGGCACGAATTTTGAATATACAAACTATTTCATATGATCAACATACTTGTGATACCAATTACGGAATATCACAGAAGTTTCAAATAATGCATGACGTGACATAGTGAGTTTATAATTAATACAATTTACAATATCGCTTCCGGTGTAGTCAATCTATGTTTATTATGTAGAATTATAGAATATAGATTAAAT